ACTTGGATCCCTAGGGTATGTTTAGGGAAGTGATTCGAACGTGCAAAAAACAATTCCGTGATTTGCCAAGCAAGCCAAACACCAGATGTTTTGGGGCCGACCGGCCGACCTGACATACTGATCGCCGCAGATCGCCGCATGACAGATGGCCCGTTTCCCCCAAGATCTCCTGAACAAATGGGATTCCACATATAAATCACCAGACTAGCACAGTTGTGCCATCTGATGGCCCGCTTCAGGTTCTGGTTCTGCCTAACCCCACACCCCATGCACCTGGTGACCCAAAGAAAAAAACACCCACCCTCTCCGTGGCACCGTGGACGCCCACCCCCCGAGGCTTGGCTCCCCCTGCTGAGGCCGGGCAGGTGCGGCACCGTGACGCAGCGGATGGACGGCGCGGCCTGAGGGATCGGATCGGTCGACGGACCGGTCCGTTGGGGCGAACCAGGTGGCCAGTAGACGGGCGGGTCCACGGGCGGGTCCGACACGGATGGCGTGTGGGAGGTGGGTTGGAAAGGAACCCAGGAACGGCTGGATGTTTGGCGCTGGGTTGTTGGATGTGATGATGTGCCATGTGAATTGGTCCAAGCCTGCATGGCCTGCAAGCCATTGGGGGGCATGTTTGGATGGAAGAAAGACATAGCAGCGATTTCATATGTGGATAAAGCAGCAGATAAAGATATATAAAGCAACCACAAAGCAGCTGCCTGAAACTGTTGTCACTTGGCAGGAACATAAATGAATGTGTTGACCTGCAAGAATGACCAATACCCTCCAAACTGTTGACCATTGCAACAAACATGCCTGATCATGACACCCACACAACTACTTATACACCCGTGACCCACAAACCGGTCTGGTGACCCACCCCAAAGGGTCTGCTGACCGGGTCAAATGAGACCCTTCATCGGGTTTGCTGTCTCGACTGCTTGAGACCCACCCTTCCACCCCGAAGAGAAACGCTCGGTCGGGTGAATTCCGCCTTCCAAGCGGTGTATTTCAAGAAGTCCTCCATGGGCTCGTGAAGCTCCTGTAGCGCTGGAACGCGCTTTTTCGGTCTGGCGTGTCTTCCGAAATGGAGCGGAGGGAGTTACAGGCACCCCGACACACAGCAATTTTTGGCTGTTGCACCTGCGTTCCTTTCTTGGGGGTTCTTATTTGAGTGCAAGGAGAAAAAAGGCGGCCCCATGTGGTTTGAGTGCTTCTTGGACTCTCAAGCACTACCAAGAAAGCATGCAGGCAACTGCTGGCATGTTGGTAAATGGCCTGAATGACACTGCAATTCTCGTATGAGAGACCAATCACAACAATTTTCTTCAACTCCGTACAGCTGGGACTCTAGAAACAAGCGTTGAGCAATCAAAGGTACCGCAGCTCAAGCGCAGCTGTGTCCTCGTCCTCTTCCATGTTGTTAAACACCACGAGGAGATGAGGAAAGGCCTGAAGCAACCAAGCATTGTAAACGACAGTCCCAATGGGGGGTCCAAAAGATCTTCCTCCCGTAGGTGGGTACTGTGTAAGTTTAGGAGGCAAAGAGAAAGCCAACTCAACTGCTAATGCATGGCTAACGGCTAGTAAACATCTCTTAATGTCTCAAGGTCAAAAAAACCGTGAGCCAAAGATTGCTTCTCCCTTGTTTCTCCCTGGTTCAACCAGGTGAGCCTTACCCTGTCGTTTCTGGACATCAATGGTTGGCTTAAATGCCAAAAGCGATGTTTATCATTGTTCATGATTTATCATGTCCACAAAATCCTTGAAACGTGTCCTCCATGCCTGCCAAGGAAACCTCACGGCCAGCTGGATACGACTCCCTGCTCCCGCTGAATAGCTTGAATAGTTGAATAGCTATCTGCTAACTCGCCGAATGAATAGCCCTCCACCCTGTGATGAAGTGGGGAGTGAATCCGAATCAGTGAATCGTGGTGTTTAGGGTGTTGCAAGAAGCAGCCAAACATTCTGGAGAGGAGGAAGGAAGCAAGAAATCAATAGAAATGAAAACTCGGCCACTTATACAGTACATGGTTCAATATGAGCAATCAATCCGGGGATTGTAAAATGAACACGGACGGGAGCCAGTGGAGAAACCTAATGTAGAGATGCCAAATCAATCGGATGGTCCTCCCACACACATGGCCCCCGGTGCTGTCACAGCAACCTCTTCCCCTTGAACATAGGGAGACCTCCCAAAAGACCCTCTGGAAGAAGGGAAGTAGACCCAAAACCCACTGGGCCAGGGTGGTTTCCCTATTAAAATACACACCCACATAGACCTCAGGATCAGCTTGATCCACCTTCCCCCGACCAGGGCCGCCGCCTCTTTGGGTGTCGACGCCTCATTTGCCTGGCCGTGGTGCGCAGTCATTGGACAACTTTTCTTCATGCTCTGTCTGCTCAAAATCTTGCCGAGCACTTTAAACAGCCACGGTCGCTGTCACAATCTCCGAATCGGAATATCAACATGTGCATAGAAACGCCCCTGCTTCTCTTCCTCATGCAAAGGCTGCCACAAGCGCTGCCAGGTGTCAGAACCAATGCATGTCAAACAAGTTCATATATATATATATTATTATACATAAATAGATATCTATATATATTTTTGTTTTATTATGCACATACATACACACATGTTTACAAACAACATATCACATACTACTAGCTGCTATATGTTCCTGATGCTGCTGCTTCCAGTACAAAAGCTGCAACACCTACTTTTGTCGTCCCACAGGTTGACACAATGGCAGTCTAAGGAGTCGCCTTCCATGTACCATGCAAAACCAAGCATGTCAAAAGGCTTCATTCATTCTGCCATGGGCACCAAAAAATCCATAGTCCTAGGCATGGCAAAAACTGTAGCCAAAACAAGCAACCACATGTAACTCATGCAACCAACTCCGCCACCAAAAGCCAACGCCAGGCTCCCACCCACCTGCGTCTTGAGCCAGCTGGCCAGGTCAGGTACCTGAACGGATGGCTTCTGTTTCTGTGTCTCCGTTCTGTCTCCTGGAGGCTACAACCTGAGCTGAAGAAGGCGCGGATAGTGCGAATGGGAACTCAACACAAGCGCCAGTGGAGTGCCCCTTGAGGCTTTTCCTTCTTTAGAAGAGGATCTTGTGGGCGGTATCAATCTAAAGGACCCCCACGAAAAAAGCATGTCAATCGGCACTCCACTTCCTTGTTTGGTGGAAGGAGGCCGACTACCAGCACTGTGGCTGAAGTCATGTCATCAACAAGTTTGTGAGCACACAAAAGACTTGCATGTCAGAACAGCACATGAAAAATATGAAAGCGCCATCCAATCAACCAACACATACATTTGCCAACACACCAGAGTCTATGCCCACAACAGTTCTAAGAACAAAAGTTTTGTTGAAGTTTGCAAAAGTCTTTGTTGAAGAAGACTTCCAGAGGCTGGCGAGACCAACAGCTGAAGAAGTGCAAACAAGAAGACTTCCAGGCATCTTTGCAAACGCTTTGTGTCTTTGTCCGAGCCTTGGCTTTCAGCGTGGCCAACAACCGGAGGAACCTCCACAGCTCCGGGTCCTTGTGGGTCGAGGAAAACACTGCGCCGGTGTCGTTGGTGCAGTCGCCAGTTTCACACTCCATGTACACAACCATATGGGACTCCCTGGGACTACGAACCACCCCAATGTCATAGATGGAGTATTTGGGGTAGATATAGATATAGATATATATGTGACCAGGTGGAGGCTGCTTTGGTGTTTTTGTGACCAACTATGGGTGTTTTGGTGACCAAGGGGTGCTTGGTGTTTGTGGCACCGCGGATGGGTGAGGTGGGTTCTTCTGCCGCGGGTGGGTGAGCCTCTCCCAGTGGCAGAAGGGGGTGGGTGTCACGAGAAAAACGAGTGGAAGAGTGTATATAATTCTAATACATTGTTGACATGTTTGACTCGAATATGCAGTCAACATGTAACATATATGTTAACTATCATATAAGTGTGACAGGTGTGATTCTAATCTGAAAAAACAGCGCCAACAATATGATAGTTTCACGTGGTTTGACTCAAGCCAAGCACATGAGCACCTGCAATGAAGCCGGATCACAAGAAGCACTCTTCCCCACTTCACCCACCGTAGCGCTCGAGCTCCATGGAAGTCAACTGTCCAGCGTGAGAAGACATGCCAATGTCAGCTTCGAAGCTGTCTACAGCGAAACACCTGAACAACCCCCCTCAACTTCTGACCATCAACGAAGGCCTTGATGTCCCTGATGTCCCTGAACATCAAATGCCTTTCGCAAACGAAGACTTCCAAGCCCTTCACACACCCTTCATCCCTCCCTGCCGCCCCTTCCAAGCCCTGCCGGCCCTGCCGGCCCTGCGCCAAAGGTGCCAAGGCTGTGTCTGTGACCACCAGGATGCAATGGCCTGGTTGAGGAGTCTGTACTCTCGGAGTCTCGGAGTCTGATCATTTGCCCATATCCCGAGAATGGACATCTCAACCGTTCATGATACCGCGCCCAACAAGATCTCTCTCTACTCGTATAATATATCCCTAGGGATCCAGTCGTACCTTCTCAGGTATGGTCATTGGAGGCACTGTTATGTAGATTTGGAGGGTCCAAGTACCTTCTGAGAAGGTAGTTGGATCCCTAGGGTATATATATATATATCGAAATGTTGATACATGTTGACTAAATTTAATATCAATGTATATCGATTCTCAGGCCGGGTGGTGTTTGACCCTTGAGCCGCTGGAATGTCACCTTTTACTTTAAATATCGTCCTTGTGCCACACATCGGCCTTGCCCGTGAAAGGCCTCGTAAGATGATGTGTTCCTAATGGCCTTTTCACAAAACACACACACACACACAAAAAAAAAAGAACATGAGACTGCATGACTATGACTAAACACAGGTTGCATGCAGATACGTTCACCTGGCTGAAGCTAGGAGAGCACCCCCCAGCTACCAAAGGCATACAACATGTGAACATATCAATAAAGACATCATTGAGCATGACTGCTGGCGCGCAGCTTTTTGGTCAAGCTGAGAAGTCGACTCTGCCGACTCTGCCCTGCAACTCTGTCACATCACACACGATACTCAACCACATAGCACGGATACGCCTGTTCCCTGTCGCACACCACAAACTCTTGATGCACCTGAGTGGTGTTGTGGTGGCCCTTGATTGGACCAGGGTTGACAACAACTGAGTCATAGGTGACGCCGGTGGTACTATTTCTCACTGGTGGCCTCCGAGTATTGATTCGGGTTTCCTTGGTGTGGTAGGAATCACCCAGCGCCACACGAGCAATGATCAAAATCCTTTTGCGCCTGCAGCCACAGGCCAAGTTATGATTAGGACATGTGTACTGGTGCGACTTGCATGCAGCCGAGGCAAAGTAGACTCCATCACCATTTGCCATACATGCCACGGTCGCATGTCCGATGGTCAAAGCCATTCACAGCAATAGAATTTGCATTTTCGCGACTTGTGCCATGCAACAAAATTTTCTCATCTACATCTGCTGCCAGGGCCTCGCCGCAGTCAAACACTTTTTGGTTGCTTGTCATGACCTTGCCATGGCCAGCATCAAATGCATCAAGGTCCAAAGCCGCAGGTGCAACCAACACATTGTAACTTGCATGCTCTTTTCGCAAAGCTTCACGTCTGAGTTTGTATCCCTGCCACAGCCTCCAGTTTTCAACACGGTGCACTGATTTGACCTCTGCATTACACAATAAAGAACAAATTTGAGAGGAATCCTGCCCATGACCAGTGAACCGTAGAATTTCACGCACTGTGTCCTGAATGTGGGGATCAGTGACTTTGACAAAAAACGATTTCAGCTCATCTGTCTGTTGCAACAAGCGAGCAGGCGTGGTGACCCACTGTGCCGGCACTCCAGGAAAGATCTGAATCTTGCGAACCATTTTGGTGTCAAGTCTTACTTGTTTCATCGTTTGAAAGTCAATGTAGCGAGCTACACCGGCCGAATTGATGGTCACATATCGATTATAAGGGCTTGGATTGCGAAGATAGGCCAAGTAGGCTTGATGCATCTGATCGTTTGCTTCAGGTGGCACTGCGTGCCAGTTGCCATTCTCCAAATACTTCCAACATGCAGCATTGCTGCCAGCTATGCTGGAGACGCGCCTTTGCTCCTCCAGGTGAGCTGATAGTTGCTCCTTTTCCTCTTGCATCTCCTGAATCTTCTTTTCAGCATCCTGGAGCTTCTCGCGCTCAACTGCAAGAAGCTTCTCACACTGCCGAGAATTCTCTTGTGCTTGGGATAAAGCATCAACAAGTTCGGTGATATTTGAATATTGTCCAATGGTCATGATTCGCAATCTCCGATCCTGTGGGCCATTGGGAAGCCTCCAACCATCTGTTGGCGGCTCCAAGGGGTTCTCGATAGCAAGGTTGGGGTTGAAGAACCAAACTATCCCAGCTTCCACATTCGACCCCAAGCACCATGCTCGATCAGAGCCTTGGTCAGAGTAGTAAATACATGGTCTCAAGGAGCCCAGCGAGGCAATCGTGTCCCCCATTTTTTCATAGACCGGCTTGTCCTGATTGGAACCCACCGATTTGTATGTGCCTTGAATCACTTTGGACACCAACAGGTTGCTACAGCCCGTCACCTGGAGAAGAATGATCTCTCCTGGTGCCCATGGTGCAATGTCCGGCCACTTGTGCTGCAGAGCCGCGCCAGAAGAAGACTCCTCGACGGAACGCAACATAAATAGAACCCTGGAGACAGTTGGTCATATTCTAAACCAGGATCATACTATCCTCCAAAAGCAGGCATACGATGGTATACAGTATAAGTATATTATATATATATACAGGTACACGGTACACGGATGCACAAACATGCACATGTGTTACAGTAAATTGGTCCACGGGATTGGCATGTAATTAAGCACGTTTTTAGAGCAGGTTTCTCTAAAGCTAGTACAGTACTCACAGTTGGGGCACAATCATGTTGCAATGGACTCACGCTGGCGAGCCGCTTCAGGTACAGTAGAGTGGAGACAGGAATCATCCCTGAGCATGGACTTCCACAAAGGATCCCGCAAATGTCATTCCAGAAGACTTGCAACAGTGTGTGATGAAAAAGCACAATAAACGAACATGTATTTGAATAGGCAACTCCCCAGCCAATGAGTTTGAGTCTATTTTTCGAACCTTCCAGGGGGTTGCCTGGGGGTCTCCCTATATCTAATACACAATAAATGAATCTTCGAGCTTCTGAAGGATCAGTCAACTTGGCAGCCTTCACTGGCCGCTCATTCTCAGCCTCATGAGCTGCCATGTCCTCACTTGGCGACACTCCAAGCTCGGAGCACGATATGAAAAACAACAACAACCATGCTGTCCTGCATGATTGCAACTGAAACCGAACAATACAAGAATCAACACAACATGTGCAAAACTATGAACTCTCCAAGGTTCCACCACTTCTCCAAGTTTCTACCACTTCTGCGTCATGCGTTCTCCAGACATATTGGAGGCGCCGCGACTCGTTCTTCTGCCGTAAAGCGCCATCAAATGGCGGTTCGTGGGCCATCTGAGAGCCGAACATTATGTGCATCAGATGAGGCATGTTGCACGAATGCAAGTACTTTTGCACCCAATCCCTTAAGAACATTGGACTTCCGATCCCCTCAGCCTAGCGGGCCGGGCCTCGGCCTTTGGGTGTATTTATAGTTTAATGATGTTCAATTCATATACCCTAGGGATCCACATTCTCAGAAGGTACTTGGACCCTCCAAGCCTACTTAAATAGTCTCCAATCACCTGAGAAGGTGCTTGGATCCCTAGGGATAATTAGTTCTTAGTTTATTGAATTCTTGGAAGTGGCAGATCCCACAAGTGTAAAATAATATACTATACACAGAAGCAGAACTGGTTGGGCGTAGCAGACGTGTTCACCTTCACAGAATCCCTTGTTCATCTCCAACAGCGAGCATTTGGTGTCTTGTTCTCCACTGAGCCCCGCAGTTCTCTTCTCCACACGAGCACTGAGCTGCGCTCCCTTGGAGCTCTTTCGGGCTCGGTGTGGGCCCTTCGAGAACTGAGGCACCGGGCAAATGGACGCTAAGAAAATCATCAAGCACAGCTCACTCCTCAGCCGACACAGCGAAGAACTTGGAGACACATCGAACTTGGTCTTGTGGAACGGGCGGAGATGTTGCTCAAGTTCACAGGTGGGTGTCGGTTGAAATCGCCCGGTTGCCCTCACAGGGGCTTTGGTGAGACTCCTATCGACCTACAAGGGTGGAAGAGCCTTACAGCCCATCTTATGTGTCCCTGTATGGGGTCCCAGAAAGGTCTCTCAACCTCCCTTGGGAACCATAGCAACTGGGTATCAACTGGTCTTTGGAGCCACTGAGATAGCCCTATGTCTCATACTTCTGGAGTTCGCTGGAGCTCGTGATCTTTAAAAACATTTTCATGTTGCCACCACACAAATTCGTCTCAATCACTTGTTCCAGCAGCCTTATAATGGATATCTACCCCAGTGCTTCAAGACTCCTTCTTGATTCACAAACACCGACAAAAGAGGTCTGTTCTGTCGCAAGTTCAGGCACCACCGGTGTTTCTTTGTATGAGCCACACAGAAATGATAGATTCTTTGACTTTACATGTCTATAGTCTTCCGTACCTTTTGGACCGTTCCGCCATCTACAATAGAATTGTGTCTGCTAATGAGATTTTACCGTGTTGCCCACATAATGGACCCAACTCCGCCCCACCGGCCCTTTAAGTCCCGCCCTTAAAGCATGCCCTCTGAGGCGTCCGTGCGGGAGGTCCGCGGAGGATTCGAAGAGGGGCTGTGCATCCAGGAGCAGGAGCCGGTCCTCAGGATCGGGCCGAATGGCCATCAGGCACTGCGAGGTCAGTGAGGTCACTTTAGATTTCTGGGTTTGGTGATGGATTGAGTCATACATCAGTCATACTATGTCATACTAATTCTACACCACTAGGTTGGGATTTGTTGGATTGTGAGGGATTGGAGGTGTCACGCAAATTGCAAAACATAGTTCAGAAGGGCTTCTTGGGACTGGAAGGACGATCTAGAGTTTGGGGGTTCACTAGGTTCAGGGGAATGATGACCATGTGAAAACATAGAATTGGTAGATATTGCTAGTATGAACACTGTATATAGATCTGATATAGTCATAACAAATACTCATCTCAACCAGAAAACATAGTGCCAACTGTCGTGCCATGCTGCATAGATAAGCAGTATCTGCCATTTTCCCCGTGTTTGTTGCACTGGGAGCCACGAGCATTGGGATGTTCCCCTTTGTGACTGCGTTTGCAACAGGAATTATACTCATGATCCAGGATCCTCAACCTAGGCCTCCCCACCATGGTGATGCACATGTCCACGCCAGGAGAGGATTGCCCTGGCGTGGGCGCAATCGCATCGCTCTATTGTGCAACAAAGGGATTCAGCAAAGCCCACACTGTGACGTGAATAGACTCTAATAATGGCCTTTTGTCAGGGTGATTCAACTGAACTATAATATGTAACATGTGAGTCTTATGTCAATTAGAACACACACATATAACTTATATATAGTCACGAATAAACCGCGCAGTTTCGCATCTTCCTGCATCCTTTCTACCGCGCTCATCAGTTCGCTTGCAGTAAGCCATCAAGTCTTGTATGTTATTTTGTTGTGTTGATTGGGGGGAAAAAAAACAACATCAAAGGATATCAAAGGAGTGTTGTGGCAGCCTGGAAGAAACCAAATGTCAGCTCTGCCTAAACATCTGGGCAAATCCAGGAACTAAGAAGCTGAAGCTTGTGAAAGCAGCTTGCGTTTCATACATACACACATTCACTTCATGAATCAATATTCTTATCCAGACCTCTACCTGTGTCCCCTCAGACAGGCTTTCCTTTAAAAGCAAATCGTGTCCCTCTACGGTGGCTAAAGGTTTGATGGAACAGTTCACATGGCGAGCTCCGTCGCCTTCCAAGAAGGACTCGGCTGTATGGATGCCCAGTGGCACCTGGAGGTCTGGCAAAAAAAAAAAACGAGATCTAAGGTGAATCGATTATGAACATGGATCCTGGCTCTACAATTGATGATAGATGTTGGAGCATTCAGCTGAAAGTGAGTTACAGCATATAGAAAGCATTTTAGGTACCCAAGTCCGTGGGTGTCCTGATTTCGGCATTTTGCTGGAGTGAACAAATAGAATACCTTGAGATGATCTACCTTGAGATGTTCATCGTCGTTCACCGATGTATCCTCTGGTCAGACTCCCACATGTCTCCAAAGAAAGAATGCAGTGGGCCTGAAACAAACCCTCCCCCAATCGAACACATCGCACTCAGGTGGGGCTGAACTTTGTCAGGTGGGTGGTGTCCCTTTCAAAACCCTCTGGATCGCAGGTCAACTTAGGCTGCAACTTGGAAGTTTGCCGCACCTGCGCGGATCAACAAGGTCGCGAAGCCGTGGGACAAGGGGCCTGCGCCTTTGTGCAAGGAATGGAGGACAAAGGTGGGAATTCTTGGCAAGGAGACTCCTGTGGTCCAATGGTCCATGAACCCAGTGCTTGGCCAGTCGAGAACGGTCTATTCATACATACCATCACTCCTTTAGAGATAGCCAATTGCAAGAAATTGCATGCATGATTTATATGTCTCTGATTTAACGGGTGAGGTCCTTCAGCTTTGTCCAGTATTCATTCCCTCTGAAGTGGTTTTTGGTTTTCATCCACCTCAGGTCCTAGACTAATGGAGCATGAATCTGGCACCTCCAGGCGTCGAATGTCGCCAACCATGTGCAGCATGCCACCAGCACTTCAAAATTATCCCCCTTTGATGTGGAGTCTTTGAACCCAATTGGAACCACTAATGCCATCAGCACTCCAAAACGGCTTCTGAACAACTGGAACCACTATAAAGGTTTGCATGCAGCGCTGGAACCGTGGTAACCGGTCCAAGACTGGGGTCGCCGGGCTCGGTCCGTCCGCGTGGAAGAAGGGCGACAAGAGGGTCGACAGCACCTGGGAGTGGAGCCAAAAGGATCTCAGTATCTCTTGTTGTCCATGGATAAGGACAAGCACGACCCTTTGGATGGGAACTTGGGAACTGAGAACTGAGAAGGGATGAGAAGAGACGAAGAGATGGGAACTGGAAACCTTGTCGTGGCCAGCATGTGGGAACTGGGAAGGGCACTCCTTTTTCGATTGAACAGGGACGACCCAAGGAGACGAAGTCGGCGATGTGGGTGCCCGAAGGGGTGGGTGCATGGGGCCAGGGGGGGCGGTCAACGTGGAAACAATATGGGTGAAAGGAGTTCAAACTCCTTAAACATGGCGATCACCACATGTGTTTTTGCGTGCTATTCGGCCAGATTTAGCTGGCAAAAGCGGAGGGTGTGGGTGTCACCTCTGTATGTTGCTGAAGTGATTTGTATGCTATCCCGTGGGTCATGATTCCTGTACGAAGTGCCAAATCGCTCAAACCAGCAGGTTTGACAAGCCATCACTCGTCATGAGGTCCCCTAAAGATTTTAAGAGAGTGATCACGATTACGGGTCCCAGAACTTCTCCGATTCTTGCACCACCCCAAACGCAAACTCTAGTTGACCGTGGGATCATAGTGCAAAGAGTGGACAGCCTTGAGAACCCTCCAGAATTGGATCCCTCAATATCCCTCAATTAGGTCCTTGAAATCCGCATGTTGCACTTCGGTCCGCGGCGCTGTGGAGCGGCCCACTTTCTGGGCGCCCAGAGTGGCGACGACCAGGAAGTCATGGGTCTCCAGCAGCCAAGGGCTCACCTGGGCGAGGATGGGTCTCGAACAAGTCAACAGCCGGCGCGTCGCCAGACTCGAACGGCTGAAATCCCAAGTGGTAGTATGCTATACTATACTTTATACGTTTAAATAGTTTATTGAACTAATTATGGCGTTGGCCAAAATTGTGCCGGGGATCTGGTAGGCCCTAGAGTTCTGAGGAGGGTTGTGGTTCACTTTCAGTTCGTGATCGAGGTCAAAAGAGTGGGTATATAGGTGGAGTTCCTGCGCCAACGAGCAAAAACAAGGGAAACTACTGTGTTGACTCAGATAAACATAAACAAATGCTAATGGATGCGCAAGGAAATGCAAGGAAACACTGCTAACTTACACCAAAAAAGAACTGCTGATGTGAGCTCTGGTTGACACAATTCGGGGTTACAGTACTAGGATCAAGCATCCTAAAGCAACTTGTTGCCACCATGCATAACGACTCGATACGACTTGATACACGGATGATCTGCAAATTCAGCACTTCACGGCGGATAATGGGCATGCTTTTCCATCCCAGCCCGAGCACTAAAACTGTAATCCGTCTATAAATATATTGTCTAAACATGTCGTCTCAATGCGGTACTCAGCACCCGTATGGCCCATAGCGGTCATAGAATCTGTCGTCGGGCAGTGCCATGGCGCTGGCCAGCTTGGCAGTCCTCTTCTGTTCCGACAGAATGGCTAAACGTTCTCTCAACCGAGTGTAGCTATAACCAAGGAGGGGCGGGAATGAAGTGACAAGTTGCGTGAGCTTTTCAGATCCCAAATAAGACCTCAGCAACAAGACCTTGGGTTGTAAATTGCTCTCAGTGCTGCACCCAAGAATTGGTGGAAAAGCTGCCACTGCCTTTGCAACTTGCATCTTGCTAAGTCCC